GCGTCCCTGTCTTCGTAGCCTTAGCAAGTTTGTGGTGTTAGCGTTGATCCTTTTTTTTTTCTAGCTACTAAACACGGGTGCGGTTCCCGGCATTATTAGTTGCCTGTGGGAGCTGGCAGAGGGTCCGCAGCAGGTAGGAGCTCTGCAGGTGACAGGTAAAGGTGTTACCTTCCCTCTCGCTCCGCAGCCGAATACCAAGAGGGGAATGACAGATGAGTGCTCAGGACCAGAAGCTTTGACAGAGTTCAAGAGATAAGGGGGGGAGAGCCAGTCTCAGCAGCAGAATACAAGTATGGAGAGGACAGAGTAGTATATTTGGGTTTTTCGAATGTGGGAACTTGCTTAAGCTCATAGTAGCAGACAAGGAGCCCATGGAGGGGATATACAGAAGGGAACTCTCACGTCAGCTTGATGGGGAAACTAGACAAACTTCTCAGCTGCATTCATCGCCTTTCAGGTCGTTAAAAAAAAAACAGTGTAAAAATCTGAGTCAGTGGTGTAGTAGCTGTGGTAGGAATAGGGACTAGGGGCAGAACATTCCTGGTTGAGAATTGCTGTGACTTGGGAGTGGAATATTTGTGGCACGGAGTGAAGCAGTACAGCTGAAACAGGCTGGAATGGAAAGGTTTACGGTCTAGCTCTTGCTTCTGATTTCTGCTGCCTGGCCTGTTGTTACAACCAGCAAGCCTGGTAGCTGTGTAGCAGGCTGCATTCCTTTTGATGCACCAACAAACACTGGAGCTGCACCTCAGTCTTCTGTTTTTTTTAAAAAAAGTTCTTTCCCACAAATGTGATTTACAAATGGAAAACGCTGTTAATCTCTTATTTTTGCACAACAAACTTGAGCTTCTATGCTACTGCTACAGGAGGACTTCATGGACCGCTATGGGATGGGGAGAAAGCATTTCAGATGTGGATTTAGTTTAAGTGCAGTACGGTATTGAAAGCCAAGTCGAGTGTTGTTGCAGTGTCCTTCAGGAGAGAGCAGATGTTGTTTTCATTCCTGATAGTGACGTGGAGGAGGAGCAGGGAGCCTGGCAGCACTGACTCCTAGGGAGGGTCTGCCTTAAGTGCCCCTTGTAACCCTTGGTGTAGGCTGTCGCGGCTGTTATCGAATGCCAAATTCACCTTTTTAAAATACTCCAGCGTAGAGTGGGGTGTATCGGCTTGTTACAGCTGGCTTTCGCTATAAAGCTGTTGGTTCCAGATATGTTTCTAAACGTCTTGCATAATTAGCCGGATGAGTAGTGTCCTGATCACTAGGTGAGGAATGCAGTGTTATCAAGGAATACGCTGAATTACTTTGATCTGCTTAACTGAAAGCTTTGGCAGATAAACTCTGATACAGGTATGCTGTATATTACATGTTTTCACCTCGTCTATAGTATCGCTAATTAGAAGAAGATAAAATTACAGCCACTTAGTAGGCCTTCTGTTACTGGCAGTGTTCTGAAACTCACCGTGTTACTGGCACGATTACACTTTTGAATATTTAAAATACCTTCTAGTTTGCAATTGCTTATACTGAGTGACTCTTCTGATAAATATGTATGTACACACACACAGATGTATTTGCTACCACAGTTGTTTGGAACAGTTAAAGAAAAATATCTGCTCTGTGCAGGAAAGCATTTACCAGCTTCCTGCTACTTTTTGTTTTTTCTCCTGGAAAACTTTTTTTTCTTTCTCTTTGCTTAACTGTGATGTTGGGTCTTCTGTTTCTTTTTTCGTTGGTGTTCCCAGTCTCTCTGTTTCCGATAGCCATCTACTGATTCATTCCACTCTTGTTCACGTGTAGACTGTTTCCTCTGTGCTGCTGCCAGTGCAGGATGAAACTGAATTTCAGGATTTCTACCTTTTGCATCCCTGGTACAACTCTGGAGTAGTTGTCTAGAACAAATCGAAAGAACACAGGATGCCTATAGCAAACATCAACGTTAGCATTCCAAATACTGTTGTGAAATTGATGAATAGTAAATAGAAAATTAAGTGCCATTTCTTCCGGAGGTGTCTGGGGGGCTGGAGCAGGGTGCCCCACGCACCCTCTGCTGCTGCCTGGAGCTGAAAGCAAAAGCTCCTGCCCCAGCACTGCTGGCCTGGCTTTCCCAAGCTGCTCCCTAGCAGGCAATTGCTGTCACTCTTTAAATTTCTCAGTTGCCTGGGAAACAGAGCGTTATTTTTCTGTGGAAATGGGAATTTCAGTCCCTCTGGCTAGCAGCTTGCGAGGGTTATGAAACGGCCCTGAAGCCAGCGCAGGCCTCCAGGCTGGCTGGCTTGTCCCGGCTTTAAGCTGCGCAGGCCTGGGGCAAGGCGCCTCGGATTGCTGGGGGGGGCACTGCCTGCTTGGGGGGGTTACTCCTACAGAGTTTGAGGTGATTTGTAATAGAGCTAAGAAGAATTTTGTAAAGTTGCTCCTTTGTTTTTATGGTAGCAAGCAAGTACTTTTGTCGTTAAAGCAATTTTTTGAAGATTAATTTTATGTTGCCTTTTACGTAGCTCAGATAAGCTAGGTGTGTGTTCTTTATAAAGAAAATTTCCTTTCTGTAACAGTTCCTTTGAAGAGAACTACAGCCCTAGATTTCAGAAAAAACAGTGATCTGAACCAATTTTTTTTTAAACTAAATTAATCTGTATATATAAGAGAAAACAACGAATGAGAATACCTACTAAGGTTTCTTTCTCTTCTAACCACGAGCACAAACTTAACGGGTTTTTTTTCCTTTAAGTGGAAGTGACATTCCCGAGATTCATAATAACTTTATATATATAAAAAAGAAGAAAACCTTCAAATCTGTTTCCTGTGGGAATTAAATTTCAAAAAATAATTTATCTAGACAGTGGAGTAGATTTGTTGTTCAGCTTCTCGTCATTATTGACACATTTCTTTAGTTTCGGTGTCTGTAACATCACGTAAAAACGTGAAATTATTAACGTACAGACGTAAAGAACGTAGGGTTGCCACAGTGGCTGATCAGAAAAGCTGGAAAATAAAGGTCTGTGGCTCCCTGGTAAAGAGGGAAATATATCATGGTCTGTAGTAAGAGCAGTGCAGTACAGAAGTAGATTTAGTGTCAAAGTGTTGTGAATGTCTTTTGCTACATGTCTGTAGTACTCGATGTTAATTCTCTTTAACTAGGAGGATACACTAGTTAGTTATAAATGCTAACACACTTTACCATTCTTTTAAATAGTAGTTCTTAAGAATTATGTCTCTAATAGATTTTCTTCCAACTGTTGTCAAGGTCTCTTTAAAAACTGGAGTTCAAATAAGTAAACCAACATTTTGTATTAATCTGCTGAAAAAATGACCTGAAGTCTGTTGGATAGATTTTTTTTTTAAACTGAATTAATCAAAATCTGTTTTCAATATAAAGTTGACTTAGTCGACTATGTACAAATACCTCCTTGAATTGAGCTGGATGGTTTGGGTAACAATGGCCATTAGATGATTTTTTATTATTATTATTCAGTCTGTTTTTACAAAGCAAAGGAGTGTGATCAGACTTGCAGAGTTGAACACTTTCACTTTTGGGGGTACCAGCCTACCTCAATAAAGTGAGATAAGCCCTGCTTATTTCTGTACAACCAGAATAGGTTTCCTTGTTCAGAGCTGATTTAACTCTGAAGGAACCGGGGTCTGAGTATTTAGCTTCTGACTTCCATCAGGTTAGCTCTGTGCCTTTTGCAGGAACAATGCTGCTTAATTTATTTATTTATTGTAAATTGTTTATTAGCTAGGGACGAATTTAATCCTTAGTGGTTTTCATGATTCCAAGTGCAATTTAAGGTTTTATTTTCAAAGAAGAGTATAATTAACAATTCAGTTCCTTTTAAGTAGATTCACTTAAAATCAATCAAACTTTGTTAATCTTGGTCTCAATGAGAAATGCTGATAGATGAGTGCAAAAATATGTTACTGCATTAAAAAGATTAAAAGAGCATGTCTGAATAAAATACGCCTCCTTAAATACATCTCACAGGTAGTTATCTTCCTGACTGAATCGAACAAAGGTTCAGTAGCACTTCAGGCAGCTGCCTTAGCCCAGCTGCATGTTAATTGTTTTCAAATTTAGAGTTAGACCCTAAATTGAGAGTCTTTGGTACTAAATGCTTGGACAGTTTCTTTTTGCGGTGTAGCAAAGTCTACAGAGTTGACTAGAACTGATGAAGGGGACAGGAAAATGTGGCACAAAGATAAGGAAAGTTCATACTAATTTCCCCCTTTTTTTTTTTAACAGAATGAAAAACAGAATTCGGATTTATTTTGAAAGCTGGCATTAGAGTTATTGTTATTTGTGACTTTACAGTGTGATTTCACTAAGCTAGCAAAGAAAAACAAGGCAACATTACAAAGGATGGAAAACGAAAGTTAGTTTTTTAGCTTTGTGCTTAAAGTAACCCAGGAATAACACCACCAGTCTAATTACTGATAGTGGTATTGTATTTAAGGTCCATTGAGTTAGACTCTCGTTTGTGCCAGAACCTAGAGATAGCTTTTAGTAAATTTGACTGCTTAATACTCTAATGACTATTTATATTACAAAAGGGACATTTGAAAAAACCTAGGGGAGAAAAAAAAGTTTTGTACTTACTGTTCTATTCTCATATTGAAAATGTTACTCATAGTGGGAGAAAATGTTCATAATTCTTAGGTCATTTAGAAACTTTATTTCTAACTTTTATCGCTCTCTTCTACTGTTTCCCACTGTAAAAAATACCTAGTAGCAGATTGCTGCTTTCCCTAGATTTTTAAGGCAGAAGCTGTGTATGGGTGAACACTATCTAGTCACTTAGATCATAAGTGCAGATCATAATTTGCTGAAATCTTTGAACTGTTGCTCACTTTCATTCTTCTCTTTGTCGTCGTGTCCGTCCCCCCCCGTCCCCCCCCTTTAGCAATAAACTGCCAATGTAGGTTAGGTTACCGGTCATTAAATATAATGTTGAGGTGCTTAGATTAATAAAATGATTTTAAATGAGTTGATGGTAAAAAGAGATTAAAACGTTTTTTGTTTTTCTTTTGTAGGAGATGCATCACTTTGAGGAAGAACTAACGTGTTCCATTTGCTATAGCATATTTGAAGATCCACGCGTTCTGCCCTGTTCCCATACGTTTTGTAGGAACTGTCTGGAAGGCGTTATTCAGCTGTCAAGCAACTTTTCCATTTGGAGACCCCTGAGAGTTCCTCTGAAGTGTCCTAACTGTAGGAGTATTGTTGAAATTCCTGCTGCTGGCACTGAATCGTTGCCTATCAACTTTGCATTGAAAGCTATTATTGAGAAATACCAACAGGAAGATCACTCCGATGTTGCAACCTGCAGTGAACACTATAGGCAACCGCTGAACGTTTACTGTCTTTTGGATAGAAAATTGGTGTGTGGCCATTGCCTTACAATAGGAAAACACAACGGTCATCCAATAGATGATCTTCATAGTGCCTACATAAAAGAAAAGCAGACTTCTGGAAAACTTCTTGAGCAGCTAACTGATAAACACTGGACTGATGTATGTTTGCTTATTGAAAAGCTGAAGGAACAGAAGTCCCATTGTGAAAGCATTGTTCAGGACGATAAAAAAGTAGTAGTGCAGTATTTTAAGAAACTTAGCGATACCTTGGAGCACAAAAAACAAGCTCTGCTGACTGCACTGGATGAAATTAACACACACATTTTGGAAGAATATGAGCCTCTCATTGAGAAGTTGAAAAAAATAAGGGAAGAACAGCTTGAATTAATGTCACTGAATACGTGTATTCAAAAAGAAGAGTCGCCGCTTATTTTTCTTGAGAAGGTGGATGATATGCATCAGCGTATAAAAGCTTTGAAACAGAAGCAACTACCAGATGTTAAACCTGTGGAGATTTATCCGCGCGTTGGGCACCTGTTGAAAGATGTGTGGTCTAAAACTGAAATTGGTCAGATCAACAAGATCCTCACTCCAAAAATAAAACTGATTCCAAAAAGGAAGTTACGCAGCAAAGGCAGTGGAAAGGAAGGAAGAGAATCTAAAGAACTCCTCCAGGCTGTAAATCCTTTAGCAGTCCTGCTTCTTTCTATAGTAATAGTGGTAACTGTGTTTTCATTTCACAAACCAGTGTTGTCAGTTGTAATCGAAGCTGCGCCTGCTTATATCTCGGAATTCTTGCTGCATATTTATCAAGATTTCTGCACCCATTTGCAGAATATAGTGAATGTGCTGTGCCATACATCTGATTTACTGATGGAGTTTTTAGGGAGAATTGTTTCTCTTTGATATTTTCAATGATTAGATTAAACGTTAGTGTAGGAATCCATGGGATTTTTTTTTTAATTTCTACTTAAAAGCTGGATTGTTAAAGCTCTACACTTTTCCTTTCTATTTCTATATCCTTTCTTTTTCTGTGTTGCATAGATTCCCTCTTAGCTAACTCTTAGTTAACTGAGATTTGCGACAAAAAAGGCTTCCTCTTCTGCTCACACAATATGGTAGGTTGGTAGGTGTTTGTTTAAACTGGCAGCTAGTCAGAAACAATGTCTGCCTAAGCAAGCTGTAATCAGCTTACTAATTGTCATCTGGAGTCCTGGTTGTAAAAACTCCTTAAGCATCTACTATTGGGGTTGGTTTTTTTAATAACATCATTTTAAGTCGGCTTGTTGTTTTTTTTTTAATAAAATCACTACAACATTACAGGTTAAAAAACACCTCGGGCTGCAAACTGGCTAGTCCTGGATGGGTCAGTCACTAGCTCTGGTGTGTATAAAGCTCCTATTTTGTGTTGTACTGACCTCTCTGAATGTGTTTTAACTGGTAACACCCATGGTCTTTAAAGCGTACATTTGTGGCCCTGGGTTTCATTTTGTTTGTTCCTGGTTACTAGTGGATAGCATGATATAATCTTTTTTTATTTTATTTTTTTTTAACTTGTTTATAATAAGTTTGTGTCTTTCAAATGGTTCTCTCCACTTTACAGGGCGGTATCGGTAGGAGTTGTGGTGAGGTACTGCACACAGGCTTTTAGTGCCAGTGGCACACTGACCAGGTGTTTGTTTAGTCTGGCAGGGAGCTCTCACTGCTTACTAAAATGACCCCTGAGTTTTTGCTGAATCATTTAACATGTAGTGAAAATAGATACATACTGTAGTAAGTAGCAAAACTCCCACTGAAGTCAGTGGTATAAGGATTTCAAATGTTGTCAAGAGCTCTTAAGACAACTTGACAACGCATGTAAATTTATATTCAACTTTTCAGCACAAAAACCAGAGATCTTTACCTTGACATTGAGGGAACACGATAGCATCTTATTCTGCAGTCAAATGATCACAAATGCTGTTCACTGCTTCTGATGAGATGCAACATCCCCTTTGAAAAGCCCTTTTTGGCCTTTGGTTATCAACAGACCAAGTGCAGTAAGTACTGGGACAGCCCTGGGGTGTTGCAGTTACAACAGCAGAGCGCAGATGTGCTTACAGTTCTCACTAAAAAATGAGTATTCTCCGAGTCTAATTGTATTTGACTTGATAAAAATAATAGGATATTCTAGCATAGCAGCATTCCTTGGCTGTTGTGTATTTTTAAATAGTAGATGTTGTTTAAATAGTGATGGGATTCTGAGGCTACCCTTTAACTACTTGGTATTTGAAACCCCCCTGCAACCCAAAACTTGCCCGCTGCTGCCTGCAGGTACTAGTGGGGTCCTGCAAAATACCGGTTGCTGCCAGAGGTCCAAGAGAGCCGAGAGCAAGGTCAGGCCTCGGATGTGATGCCAATACATTCCTTAAGCTGAAATAAGGATCCTCGTAACAATATTGATACCGTAATGTTGCCGTATTGATAAAACACTAAGTCTGGCCAAACAGCTACTGCACAGCTCCCTTCTCTGCAGCTTCGGTGGGTTTGATTGACTGAGGTAGGAGCCGGCAGCGCCTCAGAGGAGCGGGCCTTTGCCTGTGTGGTAGGAGCGGTTTCTGTAATTTGTACATAAGTTTTCTGTATCTTTTAGTTACAAAGGCACATCCCATTAATACCACCGATCAGGTTTTGAAATGGTGTTTAGGTGTATCTATCTGGGGACTGTGTAAATGCTGTTGTATTAATTTCCCAATAAAATGGGGAATTTTTGTCTTAAGCCCTGCTAGAAGGCTGTCACTTGGCATGCAAATCTCTCAAAACCTGGTGCTAAGTGTCTGTCTACTAGCTGTGGCTTTTTTGACTTACCTTCCTGTATTTTAAAAACTTAATTTATATGCAATTTTATTTTTCAAGACTACAGGGATTTATAAAATATGCCTTTACTGCTGATTGAACCATTTAGTACTTGTACTTATAATGCACTATATATTTTAATAAATTTGCATACAAATAAAATATATTCTTACAGTAGGATTGGCTAACACCTTGATTTCTTCACTGCACTGACCCTTCCCTCTGATTCTTAAGCAGTGCCAGCAGATGGGGCAGAACTGGTGAGCGGAGAGGGAGCGGTGAGTCTTGCTGAGGCAGGACAGTGGCGGCTGTTCAGCAGTGCTCTGTCTAGCTGCTGCATTTTCTTTCAACTGCCTGTTTTTGGTGGTTTGGTTTGGATTTTTTTTTTTTTTTTTTGTAGCATGACCTATAGGAAGATTCTCTGACAGGGTATGTCATGAAGTGGGGTGGTGTGGGTGGTGTGGTCTTTCACGTTGCCTACCACAGGCCTGTTTTACTGATTTTTCTGATGGTGAGTAGTGCTGTTTGACTGTTGCTGAGCTGTGGTTTCTGAAAACTGCCCAAATGTAACACGAGGATCTCTTCCTGACAAGTAATAATTTAGGCAGTGCACATACATACCACTTTATTCCATGTACCTTAATTTTCACTTGTCAATATTTGATATAATCTTAATGTTTAACATTACAGTGAAAGCACCTCTCCCCACTTTATAGCAAATTATTACAGCACAGCCCCTGCCTGTGTTCCAGATCAGCTCCCCATTGATGATTGTGCCTTTTTAGGGTGCTTGGTATGAAAAGAGCAGAGGATGGAAATACAAACAAGCAGTAAGTGTATAACGAGCTGGCAGTCAAGGGCTGTTCTCTCAGCTTTTCTGCTGCTGGCTGCCTTATTGAACAGCAGCACAGCAGGGACGGAGCTTTTTTTCCTCCAGGAAGCACACCACCAAGAGACAGAGGCACTTCTAGTTCGGGGATCAGTACCAGTACAAGTGTGCCAGACAGCGGCCTGACTTCTGGAGTAAAACCACACAATTTCAAAAAATCAGGTTCAAAGCACAACGTGTACACTGAGGCGTTGACGAGATGCTGGTGGAAAGGGACAACTGTCTGGGAGAGCAAGGTAAGCAACGGGAGCAGGGTGGAGATTTACTGCACCTCACCTCTTCCATGGGAACAGCTTAGCCCTTTGTGCAATGACGGTAGAAGCGAGCAGATGGTAATTCCTGTGTTAATAAACCCCGAGTGTACAGCATGGCCACAGTCAGAGAGAGAGGGAGGAGTTGTCCCTACAGGAGGGGAGAGGAAAATAACTGAAAAGCAGCTTCCTAAGCTGTACCAATTCCTTACAAAATGGCTACAAGCATCCAGTTCCCTGACTGCAGCATTACATGTGGCATAAAGCCTACCCATGGAATGTTACAGTGCAGCTAGATAGATAATTTGAGTTCATATAATTAAGATCTATATAGACTGTGTAATTTAAAAAATGGAATTTATTGAGGGTGGTTTTATTAACAAGCTCAAAGCAACACAAAACTGAAAGAACAAAATCTCAAACACCAAAAGTGGATTAGATAAAAGAGCAGCAATGAGGGGAGAAGTTTATTCCACTCTGTTTTGAGCTATACTACACCGTTGAGTGCCAAGTTCAGCCAGTCCTTTGGAAGCAATAACTTTGGGGTTTGTTGCCACACTTTTTGTGGTATTGTGAGTCTTATAAATTCCAATTAATCTGTCTGCAATCTCAAACATGTTGTTTCGCAGGGAGATGATGATAAACTGTGCATTTTTTGTTTGCTCCTGAAAGAGAAGTTATTTGTGTTAGCCCACAGTATTTCAAAAAGCTCTGTTCTTGTATGATCTCTGTGCTCAGGTTTTAGGAACTAAGGAATACATCACTAGAAGTAGTTCTATCATTCAACAAAACCTTGGCTAGTGGCACATAGCGCTGCCATTTACTTCAGCACCAGTTTCCTCCTTTTATCTTTTACATGACCTATTCAACTGAACTTGATTAAACATAAACATATATAATTTTTTTCCAGAGTTGCAATTCACCACAGTTTTAATGCGTTATCTTCAAAATGGCTCCCTAATTTTAAGTAGCTAATCATAATCTTTGGCACTTCTAGGGTGTTCCCAAAACTGGTGGTTATACTTTGGATAATTTTGAAAATTCTAAGTTTAAATTAGCCACCAGTACTGTAGCAATGTAACTGTTTGCTTGACTTAAATATGGTGATGACAGAATTTTTAAAGGCATGAAAGAAAAACCCCACTAAAATAAAGAGACAGACTAAAGAAACCTATGGGAAAGAGCTCATGTTAATGAGATGGAAGTATAAAACCCAGGAACCTTGGCTGCTCCTGAGAATGAAATCATGAGCTTGGATACATGAACACATGAGTAAAAGCTAAATAAGTTACTGTATTCTCAGCAGATTATAGCTGATTATTTTGGGGAAAGTATCTATATTTTAAAGAGGAAGCAGTAGCAGCAAGGATATGTGGAAATGTGGCACCTTTGGCAAACTCTAGTGCTCTTTAGACAGCTTTTGAAACAGGATTTGCAGAGATAAAAAACCTTGTAAATCCTCTATTAGTTGCCTCATTTCAGGAAAGCATCAAACTTAGCAGCTTAGAAAAAAATATGCAGAAAGCAACATTCTAAGCACCTTTCTGGAAATCTGCTTAGTACATAGTTTCCACTTAATACTCTTATCACTCCAGATTTTAAAATCTGGCCATAATTGTGTTACCACTTTGTCTTTTCTGGCAGAGAAGAAAATATCTTAGAACTGTCCTACAGGAGTTACCATTAAATACTTACATATATATAAAATGCTACAATAGATACATTTTTGAAGTCAAGTGCTGCATCAATCTCATCCATAAAATAAAGTGGCGTTGGCTTGTAATGATGAAGAGCAAAAACTAGAGCCAGTGAACTCAGAGTCTTCTCTCCTCCTGATAAGTTAAATATCTTCTTCCAACTCTTCTTTGGAGGCCGAACACTGAGAACAAATTACAGAGTTTGTAACTTCTGTTCATGATGAAAATAAGTGTGTCATGGTAAAAAGCAAGTTACAAGGCAGGAGGGAGTTCTTGGAAGACACAGACACATAAAGAAGCTCGACTAAAACCATGGATGAGCTGCTTGATATTCTTGGTCCTCCACAGCTGAGAGGCAGCAAACAGGATTATTTCTCTTCAGCGTGGAGGAACACCCTGGGTACATGCACAGCTACGTCACCAGCTGATGTCTGCCTGAAAAGCTCCTGTAACGCTTGGCTGTTCTCTGTACGAACTATAACACTTAAGAACTGCTATTTAATTATCTTTCCAAAAGTGCTATTCTACTCTTAAGAATATACTCTTAGGAGCATTTATGACAGAACAATCTCCAGTTACCAATGTGATTGACGCGATTCCCCAGGCAGAATGAAATGATTTGGGAATTAAGAAACCCTGAGAAATTACTTCAAAGTCAAAGCTTTCTAACTGCTGTTAGTTACTTATTTCTCCAGGAGAAATGAATCTCTTCATTACCCAATGCTAAAAAGTTGTGGCTTCTGTCAGTATCTTGCCAATAGTTGCCAAGGAGGAGGACTGTCTGTCTGGGTTAGCTGCTGATCCATTAAAATTTACTTAAAAAGCAGGCTGAAAAAAGGAACACAACAGTTAAGCATTACAGCAATAATACAAAGTATTTTGACAAACCTAAACATGATTCCTTCAGAGAAGGGATCCAGGCTGTCCACAAGTTCTAATTCAGCATCTCCTCCCAAAGTAAGCATCTGGTAGTTCTCCTTCAATTTGTTTGTTATTACATTAAATCCTGCCATAAATTCATTTAGCCTTTGTTTCCTAAGATCTTCAAAAGCTTGTCTGAATTTGTCTCTCTCAGCGGTAATGTCATCCAATTCAGCCACACGTTTCAAGTATAGCTCTTCCTGTAGAAAAAAAAAAAGCCACAAAACTACAGTTAAAGAAGCTGTCTCCTTAATTTAGATTTTAAACCCTTTTTCCTACCACTTGAAAACTCATTTTTCCCAGAATGGCTAACAGCCTTGAAACAAAAGAACAAAACTAAACCATCTCTTTTTTCTTATCTCTATACTCCATGCTGCTGATCTCTCTATACTGGAAAACCCATGTTAAAATGAGGAAAAATTTATTGAATAGGCCAATATTACTGAAATGAGTATTCTGAGGAGAAAAAAAATCCAAGTAGTGTTGTATATCTGTGTAGACTGTCAAGACTAGTTGACTGTAAATAAACAAACTTTCACAGGAGAAAGTTGTCTTCACCTGCCATCTATGGTGTCAAATATAAAAAGGCAGATGTAAGCTCCTAGATACAACTTTCACACTTGGCTAAGTACAAGCTAACAACTCTTCGGGATGCTAGCAACAGCACAGCCTGCAGAGGAGAAAGAGAAGATTCAAGGGTTCCATTTCAGTTTCCAACAGAAGGGAACTGAAGAAGAACAGGACCACCTTTTCCTGGTATGCCTATAGATGAGATATTTTCTTGTGTCACCTAGATAAAGAGTGCATTTTTGCAGGCATTTCAAGTGCAGGATCCATTTGAGCAGTAACCTGAAGAAAAATGCGCAACTGGAAGGTTACCGCCATACTTCAGAAGCGCTGACATCAATTCTGTACAGATTCAAGTATGGGAAAACAATAAAGCTGTATACACAGCACTTACCGAGATGAGGGGTGTACCGTACTATTGCACTGACAGGCAATACAGTATCAAAAAGATGAATCCTACTACTACACAACAGTAATTAAGCTTACCTTCTTCTTATATTCTGCAATAGCACCAAGGTTGGGTTTCATTTCATGACACTGGGCTTCCAGGAGAGCTATTTGATTAGTGATTACATCTGGATCCTTGATAGCCTCAAGCTCTTCTTGACTTAGTACTGGAAATTCTTCAGGTGGTTTATCTTCTATGGGGCGCAGTGATAATTTTGATATCTAAAATTCAAAACCAGTTACTAGAAATCTTTAAAGATCACATTAGTTATCACATGAACACGTTTCTAAAATAAACATTTGCTGTATTAGTATATAGTGAAGCTTCCAATCTCAAAACATTTGAAGATTCTTCACATAACTCCCTTTAAAAGTTAAGATGTGAAAATGGAAAGTATCCTTTTATCCTGTTATTCTGTCCCTGAAAATGATATACATCATTCTTGCAAAGGAGCTCTTTCTCTGTAATAGCAACAGTAGCAGATAACGAGGAAATCGCCTCTACTGATGCCATAGAA